AAAAAAAACAGGAGAGGGGAGAAAGGGACAGGTGTAACATCTGACCTAGAACCACCACATTCAGATATTTTGCATTGGTTCTAAGACACAAAAGCAAAAAAAAACCCCACACAGGCTGTCATTTTACATTGCTAACTGTCCAAATTTGTGTAAAAAATAAGCTGTTAAATCAAGAGAGAACACCTAAAACATCTTCACTGTTAGCTGCATACTTTTACCATTTCCAGGTCTATAGGAGACTTGGAAAGTGAAAGGCACGTAGGCATCTACGTTCCCTTATACCTTCTGTATAGATATGCTCAAATAATTCTATGCTTAGTTCATTAAAATCACGTCTACAATCTTATTTCTGGAGCCACTTTAGGGTATCTTTCCTATAAAAGAAAAAAAAAAAGCGCTTTACAAATCAAGAGCCACTCAACACTCTGCCACTCAACTTCTGTGGGTGAAAGCCCATGCCTTTCACGTCAGCCTACTGGCACGACCCAGCCTGGCTGATTTAGTCGACAGGCTCTGCCCAAATACAGCTTTATCTAGAGTAGCTTTCCTTTTAAGAAGATTTGGATTCAGCCTCATTTACATAGTTCAGGTGATGAAGCGAAGATATGCTATTCTTAGAAGAACTGGTTTTAGCCAGCAAATTAATCAGCTGGAGCAAGAGATTCTTTGGGAGTCAGGCAAAAGAAAACCCTTTTATGTATGGTGCTCATATCGATGATCTATGGAGTTCAGGAGAGTAGGAAACTAGCTAGGCACACAAGAGGGAAGAAAGTCTGCCTCATCTCTCACAGTGAGTGGTTTGTAGGATTAGTCTTCTGAGAGAAAGCAGGCTCTTCTCTGAGACCCTGGGAGATGAGGGTTACTATCTTAAACTCAACAGGTTTTGTTCCACTTGGGGGAACTAAAGCAAAGACCTCTGAGAAAAGGAACCTGGAAAATTTTACTTTGAAGAACATTCTTTGGTAGACAACCTAAAGCATTGGTCAGTAATGATGCACGCTTATAAGATCAGGACTTGTGCCTCCAACCTTCTTTTTTTTAGTTACTCATGAGAAAAAGAAAAGATTAAATTTAGTGGCAGATTTAAGGGAGAGCAGGCAAAGTATATAGGAACAAACCTCTGAACCCAACATACTAAGACCTGGAACCTTTGCCAGCTCTCAGATCAGAGTTATCCTGGCAGGAAAAAACACTATGCACATGTATCCTATGAATTCATTTGGAAACAGGACTACAATTTTTTTCCTTCACAGAAGGACATAAGACACCCTGAAGGAATCAGTCTGCTATAAATGTCTTGGGAACATTTCAGAAGCTTATGCTCCATTGTCACCCACAGCACCCGCAACAGAGCTCTAGCTTCCTGCAATGCAATTATTTATCAGAGCAGCACCTAACACACCTGACTGATGGTATCCAACAAGAAACTTCTTACTACTTCTTTCCAGGTAGTAGCTTGCTAGTGGTTACTGAGCCACTATATCAAGCCCAAGCTGACAATGAAATGTGGAACTATCTACCAGAATCATGAATAGATTTAGGTTGCTGTGATAAAAACAAGTAAGACCTAAGTTCACAAACTGAACTCAGATACAAATTCAGGGTTCTCTGGTACATCTGTGTGCCAGAGGCATCCTGGGAGGGTGGAAAACAGTACCAGGAGGTTTTACAATGTGCAGCATGCATGCTCTATCAGCATGCTACGTCCCTATACTCAAGGAGGCAAACAGCGACGATTTTTACACCTATTATACTGATCTGATGCGGCTTTTGGTCTTCTCCAACACTGCTGTAAGAGGCAGGAAGCAGAGAGACTCGTCAGATCCCCTCTGCAATGCTCATACCCCAGCGGGAACCTAGAGTGCTGGGGTCTGCTGAGGCTATGGCAGACAAGTACCACAGGTCACGGGTAGAGTTTGTTCTGCTGCCCGGACAATCAGGGTGTACTTCAACTGCCTACTCGCTGCTCTGCCTCCCTTCCAGGGTGCTCACAGAGAATTGCTAGAGTTCAGCTCTTTCATCTTCCGCAAAAGATGCTAGTGACTTTTCTTAGTCAAAAAGAAACAAAACAAAAGAATTCAGAGCTCAACTCAGCATTGACATAATGTGAATAAATGATCCGTGAAAACGATTACTCTGATTTCTCATCTGCAAAGCTTTATCTATCAATTACCTGTTTTATGCAAAACTGTCACCAGCTTATTACCCTGCCATAAAGGAGATATTTCCTTTTAAACATCTCACTTGGATGACTGACATCATTACTACAAACAGTAACAGTTACACTATTAAATTGCCAAAGGGAATTTTTTCACCAAATAGGAAAGACACCTGTGAGCTGACAGGCAGCAGATGAGTACATGGTTTATGGAACTGCCTGGCAGCACAGGGGACAGCTTTCAGGGGTCATCTTCACTCACTTCGGCTTAACACATTTTTACATCGCATGGCCGAGCCTGTTGTTTGCCCCATTGATACTGTATTTCTGCGGCTCGTGCTGAAACAACTTTTTTACTTCAACTTCTTTTAACTCCTAACAAATTCCACATTCTATCAGGCGTTACTGCCAAGTCTCAACCATATTACCACCATGTGCCTGTATCACTTGTTCTTTTTAAGCTTCCCGTTCCAGCAATCACTGGAAGGCCATATATGAGAAGGCCATTTTCAAGGCCCACTTGAACAAGAGAGCACATGACGATGACCACCATTTCATAAAAGTATTTTAGAATAACCTCAGAACTTTCAGGGGCTGAGACGCATTTTTTGGAACATCTTGATTCAACAGGAGTTGGAACCACAGCACACTGCGCTACTAACCAGCGGGAATTAATCCTGTCCTCAGGTCTTACAAACTTGGAAAGTGTACATAACTTCCTTCAAGGTTTACACTTTAGAGTTCATGACTCTAAAAAGCCCAACATTAGCGTCACTAAAGATGAACTTCTTGCATCCTTTAGTCCTGATAGTCCAGCTGGTGTTCACTGAACCTATCTCAGTTCTCATGATGGAGGGTTGTGACCTGATACACTAGCATATTTTATGGTCTGAGCAGAAGATGGTGAGATAGATATTCCTGCTCCAGCTCTCATTTCCATGCTCTGTGAGCACTTGCAAGCTTACACTCCGTGGCTGTTAATTCCCTGCTGCACCAGTGGGTTGGGTTTAATGCATACCTGCCTCATCTGACATAAAAAAATCATCAAGGATTAATCCTTCCGGTGGGATGCATCTGTGAGACCTTCCACTGAGGTCAACAGACCAGCTCATCTTTTTGCTTAATGTGCTATAGAGTAAAGAGTAACTGAAGTGTATTCACAATCACCATCCAGTGAGTTCTAGTGGATTTGCACTGTGTAACACCACTGCTGATGTGTGGAATTGATTCTTAACACCGTTTTTGGGCAGACTGAAGCCTAGACTACCAAGTTCGCTCATTTTTTGTTTTCCTGAACCCTCCTCCAAATACACTTCATTTTCTGAGAGGGCCTTGACTGATAGCTATTTATTCTCTGTACTGAGTCTACTCCTGTACAGCAATCATTTTTAATTTCTCCGCGTAAGGTCCACACAATATATAGAGAGTGCAGAGTATAATAACATGTCTGAAATAGGCATTGAACCTTTCCTCATTCACTGGAGTTTGACATTCTGCAGTCATCTAGAGGGGATTACAACATAGTTAGAAATGCGTATTTCTGAAAAAGTCCCTGTACCTTAGGAAAAATTCCAAGACCTGACAGTTCCAAAAGGCTGTATTTAGGGATGCATAAAATAATAAGTGGTTTGATCTAACCCCTAAATTAACCTGAACAGTTTTAAAGGAGTTTTCCACGGCTTTTAACTCTTTTCCCCTGACCCAATACACATCTGGTTCTAGTTGGCACCAAAAGATAGACGTATTTAAATGTCAAGAAAGAGTCTAACCTTGTATTTCTGTCTTGTTGGGAGACAGGAAGTACTAGAAATCTCATAAGAAAGGCAGTTCTCCTTGGACATCCAGACACTTTTACATAGTCAAGTGATTTACATAGCTCAGAAAAGAATTCAAATTTTTGTGTTAGCCAAACTGACCCTTTCAACCTCCAGAGGCTCATTCATCACTAGGTAGAGGTTACTAGAAGACACTGGAAAGGCTGCTCCATCTAACAGCCAGCCACAAAGTTCTTGATCTTTTGTATCCTTGCTCTTTCCTCTAGGAAAATCCAATAAATGGAATAGTATTTAAGAACACTTTTTGACATGGAAAAGAGAAAGAAAATAAAACTAGTCCAAAACCTGTGATTCCACATTAATTTTTACTTTTTTCTTACTCAGACAAACTCTTGTTACCAAAGTAGATCTGAGTAAAGGTGACAAAATTAATATGGACTTTGGGACTGCTAAATATTTAGCTGTGTTTACTGCAATTCACCTACAGAAATCCCTATAGTCATAAAGTACATTTTCCATAAATGACCTAGGTTCAGTTTGTAGTAGTGATACAGCCTCTTGAATATTTCTGAAGAGCTGGACTGCAAACATTTAAGATATAATGAAAACCAACAGGAATGAGTTGCTGAGTTTACCTTCAAAATGATACATGATTTTTAAGTGGCTTAAACACTCTTGAGCTTTCAACCCATGAGCCACTTCTACAGTGATATGTATTGCAAGGTGATGTATATGCACTTGGTGTCTTCTTTCAAAAAAGTAAAACCTGAAATCAAATCTTGCCCATGGCTACAAGGAAAGGCTCACAATGAATTTAGAAGTTGAATGTCCCTGCACGCATTTTCATGCTCAGACCATGCTTCTCTTTATGAGCTTACTATATCCACAGTAAAAGACATGCCTACCAGTGACGAAATACTGATGTTTCACAAGTCTTATCTTCTTGGCAGGTTCTGCTGGCATCCTTGTGGCAGAACAGAACTCACAACATATATTGGTGCTAATGGAAGAACATGTCAATATTTTAAGCAAACAAAAAACAATTTGTGAAGAATGTGTTCATTTACCTTTTTGATCTTCCTTTTTTCCTTCCAATGCTGATGCTTTCTCTGCTAAGGTACCATTATCTCCACTGGCTTTTACCACATTTTCTTCCTGTATGGTTTCTTCACCAATGGCTATGGTGTGTCCATTTGAAGTTTCAAAATTTACTGTTACATCACCATCTGAAATGAAAATTAAAAAGCTATTGTCTAATTAAACTGATTCCTTAGCTCCTATTGACAACACACAGCACCCCTCTGCTTTCAAGTTTCCATGGAAGCAAAGCAAAAAGACTTACTGGAACATGAAACATCAGGCTGCAGATCTGCTCTGAAAAATTAATGCTGTAAAGGAACTTTATAGGCTTCCACGTTCTTTGGGTGGCCACCTCAGCCTGGAAGTGCAGTGAGTTTTCAGGTCCAGCTTCACATCTGTGAACATCAGCATCCCATTTTCTTCCTCCATATATTTTGGTTTACACAGCGAAGAAATGTGTTAAATGGACCACAGTGGTGCTGCAACATGTTCCAAGAGGCATCAGAGCTGGACAATGAGGGGGCAGAGGTGTAGGACTGCTGTGGTGCATGCCAGTAGGTAAATCAGCCAGGAATTCAGACAGAAGTTCTCAGAATATGTGTGCCCAGTAAATGAATAAAATAGGTCACAAAGTCATTATCCAGTCTTAAGAACCAAGGTGAGGTCATGTATCATACCATTATTAAATTCTGAAAGTCAAATTCTTTCCCAGCTCTGATGATATGTTACTTACCCACCCAGGCTACCTCAGCTATGAGGGTTTTTTTAATCCTGAAAAGAAATTCTCTCTCTTCCCTATTTGTATCTATATTCCTGAAAAATACTACACACTCTTGGTGGCTCACACCTTTCTCTCTTTCCTTATTTACCAATTCCTGTCCTCTGTTCCATGCATTTTAAAATTGCTGCCAATTTTTTTCTCTGGTCATTTCTGAGGATTGTTATCCTTATGTTGTTCACACCTCACCTTCAGGTCACACAGATGACGGCTTTCCTTCTGCAGGATTCTCTTGCTGTCCATCTAAAAATTATGCAAATCTACCCGGAGTCTCTTCTGGTTCCTCAAGTTGTTTAGTTCTTCACTGTGGTAATTCCATTCTCCTCTTCTCCTCTTCCTTGCTGTGTGCTCTCAGACCTGGATGTTTGGCAGTTCCCTGGTTTCCATATAATTATGCAGCCTCTCTCACACCACCTTGGGCTGCTCCACGGTTTAAGCTGATGGTTTCATTCTCACCCACACACTAACTCGGACTTGATGTGCAAAAACTAAGGTCTGCCACCTTAACCCTGTCTCATTCACTATAGCTGACAGTTGCACATGGCTTCCTTCTCGCCTTACCACAGCATTCAGTTTCTTCAGCTTCTTTCATCCAGATGTTCTTAAATCCATGCTTTCCTCTGCCTCCACATGTGGCATTCCCTCTTACCTATGTCATGGTTCTGCAGGCACCTCCTGCCTCCAAGTGGAACTTGCCACTTTCCACTTCTTTCTTCTTCACCCCATGTGAAACAGTCACTTCTTCACATTTCTCACATGTCACACGTCAAGACTCCATGTAATTTCCACATCTGGCTTTCATGTCCATAGTCATTCCTTCTAACTACCTTCACACTGCTCAACCACCATCTTTTCAGCACCTTCAAACCCATCCTGTATGCTTTCAAACTGCTCCTCAAAACCTGTTAATTTTCATCAGACAGGAAGCACAATGTGATGAGTGCAACACAGACCAGATCGATGGCCTTCTTATGACGGAAGGGGAGAAAATTGCTCATCTTTACCTCCTTTTCTCACTTTGCTCAAGCTCTGTAAGGGATCCAAAATCCCATCCCCTTTTAACAGCAGCAGAGAGGACGAAGACACTGATGACCAAAGCATACACAATTTCAGCACAAATTATAGTCTTTATGTGCAGACTGCTTGTAATAACCTGAAATGTTAACACATTTCATTAACTGTCCCAGCAGTCCAAATGCAATTTACAGCCATCAGTGGACAGTCACACAGCTCCCCAGTAAAGAATGCAGCAAAAAAAATATGTAACAAATACACAGAGGGACAAACTGAGGAATGGAGAGTTTGCATTTCTTGTTTTACGTCAAAGACAGTGGCAGAGACAAGCTCAGAAGCCAGCTATGCACAATGTCATAGCCTGGCAATTAGTGAAACACTGTAAAGACAAGTGATGTCACATGTCAACAAACAAGCCCTTGACTTCCAAATATCAATGTGTACGATACTAACCATGCACATTGATACTTTCCTGGTTCTTCAGCTCAGGCGGAGTAATGCAATTTCTAGGAGAAAAATACTTTTGGAAATCATGGAGTCCTTTGACTCCTTGATAAAATGACAAATGGTTTAATTTTAAGCTACAGGAAATTATGTTAATTCACTTGACTTTTATTTGATCTAGATTTATACAAGATCAAGAATATTAGAAATAATATCACTAGAAACATAATCAGATGTAGCACAGAGGTGTTAACCACAGTGTACTCACGCTTTTTGAAACAAAACTCTGGTTAATACCAATTACTAAAATGTATAGCATTTTGAAGTAAGTGGCAACTTCTCCACAGTTTTATGTTTGTACCATTTGTGAATGTGGTCTGTGTGACAGTGGTGGGATCTGTACTGGTACTTTTTGATACCTGAAATGGATAATATTGATTTGCTTGGGGGTCCCAAAGCCACTAATTTTTCAGCCAAAATTTCTCTTATTATACTCCAGTTGCTTTAGACAACAGACCTTGTCTCATAAAACAGGTTAATCACAAGCTTAAAAAAATTCTGGCAAACAGTAAGTAGGAACCACAGGAGTTACATTATTTACAGGGAGCATCAAAATACTTAAGGATATGACCAGAGTCAGGTGGTGTACCTATGGCAGGAGCAGTTACAGAACACAAATCTCTCAACTCCAACTTCAGTCAACTGGCCCAAATCACCTCTCACACTCCTCAGCTTCGTCTCCTTGTACCTATTTATAGTACATGGAAGCAACGCAACAGCGGCTTTATCATCCACATCTAGCACTTAGGAGCTAAATTCTAGGTAACACGTTATCACCTTGCTCAGGCATTTCCTTCAGCACGCCCCTTCTTATCAGCTCCTCTCTGCTTTGTCTTGTCGAAATCTTCCTTTCCAACACTAAAGAAAAAGCACAGTTAAGAATAGATTTATTCTCGTACTGCTGATGCTCATGAAAAATGTAGAAAAAGATTGATATTTTAAAGAAAACCTCAGAAATCTTGTTTCTTCCGATTCTGCAGGAAAAGTGGTCTGGGTTTTCATGGACACTCTCTGAAAACATCTCCCACAGTGTCAGGCACAGCAGGGGGGGATTCACCTGACCCAATGCCTTCAGCTGAGCAAGGCTCCTTGAGGCTTCCTTTACAGTTAATGGAAAAAGGTACTTCCAGGGTGAAACTGAACTCACCATAGCATAGGCATTTAATACATAAAAGCACCTCTTTACCATTGACTGGGGTGACTAGCTCAGCTGGAAATACCTCTGCCTGCTTTGTAGACGTTTTGAGTTAGGAGAGACAAATCCTGCTCCGAGCAAGCAACTCACAGGGTAGCCTTTATGACACACAAACTGTTTTAAAGGGGAAAACCAAAATTAACCTTACACAGAAGCTAGAAAGTTCTGTTCTGAAAGGGAATAACATCCTCATCCAGACTGGTTGGCTTTCATGGAAAAAACCACAGCATCCTGTTTGTTTGTTTAAAAAAAAGAAGCATACAACACACAAAAAAAGACTGTGACATGAAGCATTTTAATTATTATTTCTCATGGGAAAAATGCTAAATAGCTTTATCGGGAAAAGCACTTACAGATGGCAAAATAGAGTAACTCCCCACTACACTCCACCACCAAACCAGTACAGTTTTGGTCAGTCATCTGGGAGACTACAGTAACGATCCAAGGAATGATGATGCATGGTCCATAAAATGTGAGTATCAGTTGTAAAATCCTGTCTTCACTGTTTGGAAAAGTTTATGTCCCATCCTGATTCTGTTTACATACGGACATCAAAACCCAAGTGACGTTTGGAGCTCAAGCTGAGGGCATGTGGCAAAGCTCAGCCGTGATGGACTTCAGCTATGGGATAGAGTTATTCATCTCATCAACTAATTCAGACACTCTGGTAAACCAATTACTCTCTAGGACCAGTCTAATTGCTGAATGTTAACCCCCCTTATGGTGGCT